CTTATTCGATCCTGGCCTAACAATACTCCAAGCAAGATTTGGATCCCGGCCAAATCTAAGATAAAGATGTGGATCCCGATACCACAATGTACTCCCACAGCCCAAGTGCCTTTATTATTCATAGCCTGGCCGGGCGATTTCTTCAAGGCAATCATTGCACATATCACTTACATCTTTTTATCCTTTAAAAGACACCTACGTGTACACATGAGGATCACTTTAAGAAATAATAAGGTTGTTATTCTTCTAAGAGAAGTGTTGAATTGGCGGAGGGAGCGAGGGGCTTCTGCCACCCTTTCAACCTCCCTATGCTTCCCCAACATAGCCATGGTTTTTTCATGACTCCATGAGCTCGCTCCAGGCTTTCAGAATTTTTCTGTCTTACTTTGTCTTCTGGACATTAAGGCCTTTCCTGGGCCTTGTGTATATATGGTTGGGTCTTATCCCCCCTTTGCGGACATGTTTCTTGTCTAATTTTATGCTGGTTTTCTTTTTTTAGACACACTGGGGAAGATTTACTAAAGTTGGTACACTCAGAATCTGGTGTAGCTGTGCATGGTAGCCAATCAGTTTCTAACCTCAGCTTGTTCAATTAAACTTTAGCAATGAAACCTGTAAGCTTATTGGTTCCCATGCAGAAGTGCACGAGATTCTTAGTGAACCAGTTTTAGTAAATATACCCCAGTGTGATGTATATCTTTCTTTGACCTACAGATCTATGATAAGATGGTTATATGTATCATTATGGCTTTACAAATGTATTCTTGTAATGCTAAAGGGCTAAACTCTTTGAGGAAGAGGTGGTCAGCCTTGAGGGAATTCCGTCAATCGGGCAGAAGTGATTCTGATCCAAGAAACACACTTTAGAAAGGGAGATCATTTTACATTTGCTCAAAAACACTTTCCCACAATACACATGGTATCTGACCCTACAGGTAAGGCAGGGGTTGCTATCTTGGTTAAACAAAATTGCACTCTGCAAGTTCAAAACTCTATACTAGACACCGAAGGATGATTTAAACTCCATAACTGTAGATATAAAGCCACTCCTATAACGATTTTTAATTTATATGCTCCAAATTTGACTTCCTCTGAGATTCTATATCCCCATTATTACCATCAGCTCATCCTCTTACAATTGTAGATGGGGACTTCAGTTTGGGTTCCTCCCCTTCCAGAGATCGGAAATCACTACATGGCCACCAACCTTTCAAACAAGCTCTTAAACTGTAAGCCTCTTTTCGCCAGTGGACTAGGGAACATAGACTGACTCTTGGCGGGTGGAACACCCGAATGGTAAAAAAATTCTAATTTTTCTCACCAGTACATAACACCTATACTAGACTAGACTATTTTTTGGTATTAAATCCTCTTCTTTAGAGTTCGGTGGAATCAGACATCATAACTATCTCATGGTCAGATCATTCTTATTTAATCCTTGACTTGGTAAGCAGGTTTCTTCCTGTGACTGGCGGTTGAATGAAAATCTGCTCAAACAGGTTGATATTCAACAATCGATTTCAACAGCCATAGAGGATTATTTTAAGCTTAATGAAAGCTCCGTTTCCAAAACCTCAACCCTCTGGAAAACCCATATTCCTTACATTAGAGGACAATTTATATCAGCAGGCTCTCTCTTGAAAAGAAACTCAGCTAAACTTAGATCTGACCTTATGTCTCAACTAACCTATGCCGAAAATGAGCTTTTGAACCACTCTTCTATGTCCAATCTTTGAATGATGGTACTGCTCAGGAATAAGCTGAAAGCCTTAGGTGTAGAGGGGCTGTCCAAAAATCTACTTTGGATAAAGCAGAAATATGCTAACAAACCCCATAGAATGCTGGTAAATAAACTGCAGGCTAGACCTTTAGGGGCTGCACCCAAGTTAATACTTCAATCAGATGGGACCCCCACCTACTGCCCACAAGGCATCGCGACAACTTTTGATAACGTCTACAGTAAATTATACAGTTGCCTTTCCCCTGATCAGCGTCCACCATTTGACAAAGCTCTATTCGACACATTTGTTTCTGGGTTGCATTTGCCAAAAGTGAAACCTTCTGCAGGGATGTTGGATTCCTATCGCCCAACGCCCAGGACATGTTCTTTTTTTCCTTTAGCTCTGCTGTGGGCAAGCAGCGGGCTCACATTTCAGGTGGAAGCATTCGGCGGCCATACAGTGCCAGCCTTGCCATGCCAAGAGAGAAGGGGTGGGGCAGAGCTGCAGCTCCATGTGAGAATGGACACATGGAGCAGCGGGTGCCCCCATAGCAAGCTGCTTGCTGTGAGGGCACCCGACAGAGGGAGGGGCCAGGAGAGCCTGCGGGGATAGAGGATCCAGGTTGCTCTGCAAAACCACTGCACATAGCAGGTAAGTATAGACATGTTTGTTGTTTTTTCCTTTAAAAAAAATAAATCTTTAGAATCACTTTTTTTTTTTTTCCCCTGGATTTTCTGGTTGATATGCTGTCTCTTATTTAAAATACACCTATGATAAAAAATTATAGACCCTGCATTTCTTTGTAAGTGACCAAGCTTAGGAAATCTGCAGGGGATCAAATAATTATTTTCCCCACTTTCAAAATCCAGTGAGCAGACAGATGACATTTGAAGTTGCAGAAAGGAGCCAGGTAGAAAATTGTGAGAGTAACAGTAACTTCATCCAGTCAGATGCAGCCACTGTTCAGGTATTCTGACATCTACTGATGCTGGCTGTCAGAATACAGTAGATGGCAGGGGAGATTGGCCATCCATGCTGTTTTTAGCATGGCTAGTGGAGTCTGTTAGATTTGTAGTTCGGCTTTACGTTCTTGTCAATTAGGCTTACATAGTAGATAATGGGATGCAGATGCTAAATATGTCATTCACCCTGTGTAAGAGCGAATGTACAAGTTTGAAATTATAGGCAATGTGCATGAGCTGTGAGATATGTAAGGTTTCTAAGACTTGAAAATGCTGTTTGTGTAGTATATTGTGTGTAATATATATATGTATATGTATTGTAGACATTGAAACACATACTGTTCATTTATACTTCGTCCTGACTGTCCTACGGTCACACCCAGAAATTGGATTTCTTCCTTCCCCAATTGTATTTTATTTGGATTAATTTTCAAGCCCGCTTCTCTCAAAAGCTGCAACATTTCGCTGACATCATTCACATGCTCATCCATAGAGGCTGTTGGGGCAAAACTGTCCAGTAATATTGAATGCCATCCCAGCAAAAAGCTGTTTTGTATTGACATTTTGGATCGAGGGGTAAATTCCAATAGCTGTTACTGATATCAATTACCGTAAACCACTTCATTTTTGGCGTTAATTTGGCAATCATTTCAGGGTAAGCTGCTACCACAGGTGCCATACTTTTAGCATATTTGTTTAAGACAATCGATAATCTATTGTCAGCCTGAATGACCCATCAGGTTTTATGACTGGCCAGGCTGGCGAATTGCATACTGATGCACCCCTTTTTAATGTACCTTGCACTTCCAATTGTTTTATAGCTTCTGTTATTGGTTTAACAGCCTCTTTTGGAACTGGGTATTGTTTGAGTGGTGCGGGGTCCAGTCCTTCCAATAAAATCATTGTATTCATCCTACCACAATCTTGTTTATGTTTTTCCATTATATCTTCAAATTCACATATTAGACTATCCCAGCAAGGGTCCCAATCTCCATGTAGCACTCCTACAGGCTTAGCTGCTGCTGCAACCAATTCCATAGGCGGATGCCACACATGACCCAAATTGTCATCTCCAGACATCTTCCACAGTTTCATGTTTGCAAGGTCAACAGCCAGACCCTGCTGTACACAGACATCAGCACCAATTATGTCCTGATCCTGACAAACAACATCACACTTCCATTTCTCTCCCCCTACATATTTTTCATGTTACAATCTTAAGAACCAGGTGTGAGTAGTTTGATTGGCTGTGAATCTGTTTTATTTATTTTTTTAGTATAAAAAAAATATATAAAAAAATAGGGTTCAAGTCGGGGAATATGTAGTATATTGTGTGTAATATATATATGTATATGTATTGTAGACATTGAAACACATACTGTTCATTTTTGGATAAGCCAATGATAAGACCACTTTACACACCAAAAGGACTCCTTGCTATGTTAATGTCTGCAGGAAGTAATTACCTTCCCTTTGTTGTGTGGGGTTATCCTGTTTTGGGTAAATATATGGAGTGTCAGGGGAAGTTTAAGAACAGGTTAGTTGCATATAGATTGGGAAAAGTCTTAAATATTCATGATGTGCTTGTTTATGGTGAAGAGAGAAGATTTGCCATAAACAAGACAAGTAGTATCTGTTTAACTTTTTAATTAAAAGCTATGCATACAGCTATTCTAAGTCTAGACACATAAGATCAAACATGCTAATAAAAGTGGCCAATCAGAGTGCTTGCCATTGTACTGAATGGGGAAAATGTGTATATTAACACAGGACACAGAACACAGGATAGAATACATGGGATAGAGCACAGGTCAGGATACATGGGCCAGAATACAGGTTGTATGGCAGCTACCTAGGTGCATATTATAGATTGGACATATGATGGATGGTGTAGTATCTCTATGCTTGATATGAGGTATCTTGAATAGGACTTTGAGAGCTGTTGTTCATTGTAACATTTACAAGTATTCAACTGAATTTCTGTCATCTGTAACAAATATCTTTATCCGAATAAATGCATCTCTCTGGAAAAGGACTATTGGTTGCTGCAGGAATAGTACATATATAAATATACACTGGTTATACATCCTCCATTATTGATATAAGACAACAGATTTGTCTTATGAATTGTTTCTGTGTGGACTTCATTATTTTAAGACAACAGTTTGGTCTTGGGGGTATGTTGGACAGTGTGTCTGCATCTGTTTATGATAGGAACAGTTTGAGGGAAAATTACACTTTACATTTTTATTATCAAAATATGATTTTCATTGCCTTTTTTATAATTACAGGTATAAAGCAGATTGCATACTTGTAGATGGAGCAGTACGCAAGTAGCAATGGCTCCCCAGAGCAGATTGTGGTGCAGGCTGGGCAAATCCAACAGCAACAGGTGAGAATTAGAGGTGGTTTGCATGCAAGCCATAATGTGTAGAACAATTCTCTGGCATAACAATTTGTTAAATGTATAAATAATACTAGCAATCATTTTAATTTTGTAACTGACATTTTAAATTCCAAAGCTCTTCAGTAAGCTAATTTTTAATTTTAATAACTAATCAATGTAAGAGCCTGTGTGCTTTGGGGTTGTGTCACTGGCATCAGTTTGAGATGCTTCATAGATCATTTAGAATTCATTGACAAGTGCATTTGATCTTCGATTGACATTCTGACCTATATTTGACCCGCTGCATTCCCAGAGACTTGTATGGGTATGCAAAAAAAAACCTGTCTCAAGTGAACAAAAGCCGGCTGACACGGACCCAAAAAACACAAATTTAGTTAAGTGTTATCATTTGAGTGTATGACTCCTGGCACTCTCTCATGGTCAGGCTGTCTCTCTTTATTCCTTCCCTTTTTCCTAGCCTGGTGCTGTCACTGCTGTCCAGTTACAGACTGAGGCTCAAGTGGGAGCAGCCTCTGGGCAGCAAGTTCAGACCCTCCAGGTAGTTGTGTTTGGCAGATGAATAAATGTAAATGGAACCATATAGAACTTTCCATTGCTTACTCGGTCATGTTAGCATGGATCGGTTACATTGTCTAAAGTGTCACTTGCAGTTTTTGTCTCTTGCATGATATTGTAAGTGGTTAATCCAGCATGTTTCCAAAATATTTGTACACTGTAATTGACCTTTTTGCTGCTGCAGACCTGACTACTGCATGTAAACAATCTCCTAGAGAGATATATATGTAGAAGTGACCGGATAGATTTTTAATGTGTGAAAGGAAAAACAAAAACATGGCTCTGGCAGCAAAAGGGTTAAACCTTTGCTCTTTGTCTCCATTTAATCATTTTATTACATTGTCAGATTGCTTTGTTTCTGTTCTGAGCATTGGGAAAAAAAGCATGGCTGATATGAAAACCATGTAGAGCTACAGCCATTTTGATGTAATCAGTGTCTGATGCACAATCTGTGTTTTTTTAGAGAGAAACTCCAGACATAAAACAAAAGCCATCCCCTGGCAGAGCCAAAATACTGTAACACTAAATGATAGTGTTTGCTTTAGTTCAGCTGCTTTTGATACCTTAATTGATCCTTTAAAGATCAGCTTCTACACTGCTTAATAGTTCTTGGCCATGGGTAAGATCTTCAGGGTTGGCAACAGTGTTAGTGTGGATTCAAATAAGTCCCACAGTGAAGCTTGTTGATGCAGTGGTACACACTCCTTACATGTCACTTATTTATTCATTCAGCAAAATGTGTGTTTGCTTCTGTGTTTAGGGTGCCATTAACAGTTAATGGCACTGAAAGCTAAATTAGTTCATTTTTACAGTGCTTTGAAAAAGTATTCATACCCCTTGAAATTTTCCAAATTTTTTTCATGTTTATGTGATAGGCCAACACAAAGTGGCACATCATTCTAAAGAATAATAAATGGTTTTCGAAATTGTTTACCAATATGTTAAAGTGTGGCATGCATTTGTATTCAGCCCCCTTTTACTCTGATACCCCTAACTAAAATCTAGTGGAAACAATTGCCTTCAGAAGTCACCTAATTAGTAAATAGAGTCCACCTGTGTGTAATTTAATATCAGTATAAATTTAGCTGTTCTGTGAAACCCTCAGAGGTTTGTTAGAGAACATTAGTGAACAAACAGCATCATGGAAGCCAAGGAACACATCATACAGCTCAGGGATAAAGTTGTGGATAAGATTAAAGCAGGGTTAGGTTATTAAAAAAAAATATCCCAAGCTTTGAACATCTCATCTGAAAATGGAAAGAGTATGGCACAACCTACCAAGACATGGCCGTCCACCTAAACTGATAGGCCAGGCAAGGAGAGCATTAATCAGAAAAGCAGCCAAGAGGCCCATGGTAACTCTGGAGGAGCTGCAGAGATCCACAGCTCAGGTGGAAGAATCTGTCCACAGGACAACTGTTAGTCGTGCCCTCCACAAATCTGGCCTTTAAGGAAGAGTGGCAAGAAGAAAGCCATTGTTAAAAGAAAGCCATAAGAACTCACGTTTGCAGTTTGCGAGAAGCCATGTGGGAGACACAGCAAACGCAGAAGAAGGTGCTCTGGTCAGATGAGACCAAAATTGAACTTTTTTGGCCTAAAAGCAAAACTCTATATGTGGCGGAAAACTAACACTGCACATCACCCTAAACACACCATCCCCATTGTGAAACATGGTGGTGGCAGCATCATGTTATGGGGGATGCTTTTCTTCAGTAGGGACAGGGAAGCTGGTCAGAGTTGATGGGAAGATGGATGGAGCCAAATACAGGGAAATCTTAGAAGAAACCCTGTTAAGAGTCGGTAAATGACTTGAGACTGGGGCAGAGGTTCACCTTCCAGCAGGACAACAACCCTAAACATACAGCCAGAGATACAATGGAATGGTTTAGATCAAAGCATATTCTTGTGTTAGAATGGCCCAGTCAAAGTCCAGACCTAAATCCAATTGAGAATCTGTGGCAAGACTTGAAAATTGCTGTTCACAGACTCTCTCCATCCAATCTGACAGAGCTTGAGCTATTTTGCAGAGAGGAATGGGCAAAAATTTTACTCTCTAGATGTGCAAAGCTGGTAGAGACATCCCCAAAAAGACTTTCAGTTGTAATTGCAGCGAAAGGTGGTTCTACAAAGTATTGACTCAGTGGGGCTGAATACAAATGCACACCACACTTTTCAGATATTTATTTGTAAAAAAGTTTGAAAACCATTTATCATTTTCCTTCCACTTCACAATTATTTGACACTTTGTGTTGGTTTATCACATAAAATCCCAATAAAATACATTTACGTTTTTGAAGGTAACATGACAAAATGTGAAAATTTCATGGGGTATGAACACTTTTTCAAGGCACTGTAGGTGTATAAAGGCGGCTATATACTATAGAACCTGATTTGTAAAATCTTCTTTAGTTTTACCAAAACTATATAATAGGAGGACACACTATCCAGTCAGGCAAGCCCTTGCATTATGTAGTTGATGGTAGATCTAAAGGAGATTGTAAAAAAAAGATTGTGTAGTGGGCATAACAGATTTACAGGACACACTTCTGTTTTCGATACTACTGCTCTAGCCACATAGGCTGTTATTTGATTGCTCAGTTCCTGCACACTCTGCCTAATGAATGATCAATGCAAGATGAAGGTAAAACACGAGTAAGACCCTGGCTGTGTATTCTCATAGAACAGTAATTGCATTGGAAATCCATGAAACTGCAGAGGTGGGTGGGAGCCATCTCCTGGAGGAAAAGGGGCAGGTGCAGAGTGTGTGTCATTGAGGTCAGCTGTTCAGCTACTTCTACTGGTTCCCCTGTTCTGAATACCAAATTCAGGATGGCTAATATTATTATTATACAGGATTTATATAGCGCCAACAGTTTGCTCAGCGCTGTACATTATAAAGGAGTTTTCACCAGGACACTGAGCATAAGGTAAGGTCTAGTGTAGGACAAATAGAAAACTTATAAAATAAATTAGTACATAGGAGCAGAAATGCAGAAAAAAAAAAAGGTGAACTTAGCCTTTATGAAAAATTGGGAAGCTATTTTTAAAAGGGGTCTCTGGACTGGCTGCCAGCTGAAAGTAGGAAAACTCTGTTTCAACTTTGAGGATAAAGAAGTGCTATTAATGTACAATCAATAGTAAGAGCATTACTGTTAGTAGTGTGTAAATGTTTCTGTGGCTGGAGTGCCTCTAAAAAAAAAAAAAATTCATAGCTGTGTACAAATATAAGGGGGTTTTCCAGGTTTAAGGAACTATTTACAATTAGGTTTTGAACCTTACATCAGTTAATGTCCTAACATGTCTGTTAGTAGGTTCCCTACACCACACCTCTGCAGATCATTTCTACAGCATTGGTGATTTTTTTTTTTCACCATTGGAGGTCCACAGTTAGTACACCTCAGTGTCCTCTTTATTGCTCCTAAATCCTGCTCTCTATGGCCCTAGAATAAAAGCAGACTGCCCTAGTAATTACCAATGTATTCTGCGTTTTAAAAAGTTAGGCCTGCCCTTTTCAAATTGCATGTTTTGTTGCCAAGGAGTCAATAACATACAGTAGGTACAGGTGACATGCCTAAACATTACATAGCTTTACAGCTCATTACTATTTACTTATATCTGTTGACTGGGAGGAAACATCATAAAGTGTGGCATGTGTAAAACGTTTTACAGTTGAATTACCAGTGGTTCTTTTTGCATGGTCTCTCAGCTGATCTGACTTTGGAATTACTCACTGCTGATCTAACTCCTCTAAGGGCAGTCTTTCAATAAGGGGCATATTTATCAATTTGTATTTCTGAATCCTCAAAAAGTGACAGACTCTCCAAATAACTATGTATCTTCTCAAGACCTGATTTGAATCCTGCACTTGAGCCCAAAGCAGACAAAAACTTTCCTGGGTTACCATTTAGAAACAGAAAAAGATTTTCAACTTCCTGGAAGAGCATAGTTTCCAGTACTCTGAAAGTTTGTTGCTGCTCTTTTAGTTTTCTTGCACAGTAATCTAGCTAGCAATCTGCTTATCAGGTGATTCTTCAAGGCTTCCCTTCGATTCAGACCCCTTTCGGTACCTCCCTGGGATCATTAGACCGTACTAAATACTTACGGTACCAATTTTCCCTTTGCACCTTTTGGTGATGCTCCTATCAAACCTCCTTGCCATTAAATTGGTATTCCTGGTTTCCATACCTTAGCTTGCAGGGTATGCAAGATCCAAGCGTATTCAGTTGAGCTTTTTGTCAGTGTCCAGCTTTCTTGCCCAAAGGCACGAACGTACAAAGAAAGCGATTTTGCCCTCCTTTTGTCATCTAGAATCAACATCAATTTTCCACCTGTAGATGTAAGAAGATGCGTACTTCAGTACATTAAAAGCACCCAGACTTTTAGGAAATCCAGTGCATTATGCATCCTCTTCTATGGACCCAGGAAGAGCTGCAAGTAGCACCAACACACAACATTGGAGAGTTTCTTGTCTAAACTGGCTACATGTTTAGACCAGGTTTCAGACACTTATCCTGGCTATAGAGACTCCAGAATTAACCTAACTCTTGGTAGTTACTAGTGGTTCTCATATGGATTCACTCTCTTTTGCCTTAGTGAAGGGAAATTATCAAAAGATACTTCTCGCCATAGGTAAGCCTTTGACAGTCTGGTCCAATTATACTTTTATTATTCTAAAGAGAATGGAAACAGCCCAACGGTCCTTTCTCCATGCCAAAATGCTTCTATACAGTGCCACCATCAGTGGACCGATCTGTGTCTTGCCTCAGCAAGGCAAAATGACACCTGTTGTAGATTCTAAAGTTTTTCGGAGATTTGTCAGACAAAATGCTGGAGTCCCTTTTGTAGACTTCTTTTTTTGCTCCTGATTCTGTTTTCAGGCAAATTTTCCCTTTCAGATGAAAATTATATTGCTGAGGCTTTACTTCGGACTGTTGCTCACCACATCTGGTAAATATGAAAAAACACATCCGTCCCAAAGGGGAAGTTCACGAATTTCTAGGATTTTTCAGGTGAATGGTCTGTCAGAAAATTTACAACCAACAATAAATTTTATGTAAATCCAAAATTTTTATTTTGCTTTACCTAAAACGTTGGTCATGTTAAAAACCTGAAAGTGAGTGATAAAAGAATGAGAGTATGGAATGACAAGCAGAACTTATCCCCTTATGGTCGAGCCTATGGCCTTTTCCTAAGTGGATGAACACGTTCTATGTATGAGTATGCAGTGGTTGAGTTAGTAGTATAAGGGGTCCTATTTATTTTTCATTCCACACTATGATGCTTTTATCATTCACTCTTATGTTTAACATGACCAACCTGCATTTTAGACTACGTCAAGAAGAATGGATTTTACATAAAATTTAGTGTTGGTTGTAAATTTTCTGAGAGACCATTCACCTGAAAAGATTTGTGAGCTGCCCCTTTGGGACGGATCCTTTTTTTTGTTTTAGTTTTTTCTCCTTCACTTAGGTCCTACTGTCTGTGATGGAATGTGCTAGAGTTTGTCAGGATCTTGCATCTTCGGGTTTTCCTCAACACCTAAAACTCTAAAGGATTCTATCCTTTCCCTGGACAGAGAGATCTGTATCCTAGCCCACTCTAAGTCATCTCTGCAGTGGTGGCTTTGGCTGTTGATGGTATCACAGGGCAGCTCCTTTCTGCTGCTATTATTACTGGAAGGTCCTCACCACAGATGCAAGCCTGTCACACCTTTGAGAGGAGATCTCGTCTCCCTGTCTGTACTCTGTGATGGATACCCCCTCTAACACTTTTAGTGCCTGTTGTTTCTGCCAATAGATGCACTAATTTTCCACTTCCTTTTAGGCCTCAAATGGGCGCTGATGCCTGTACACTATGTTTATGCAGCTGCTGCCGCTAGGAGCTGCATGCAGGCAGCCTGTGTAAGTCTATTGGGACACAGCTGTTTGTCCTAATTTGATAGGCTCACAGGTGCAGATGAGCAGCTAAAAACTATTTCTTGCATCTCTGCAACACATGCGCATGTTTTATCCCTAAACACTCAGCAAATACAGAAAAATAACTGTTTATGTGCCAAACATTTTGTGAGGTCCTAACCCTCCTCTTTGATTACATGGAATTCCAAAGCACATGTTATCAGGCATACCTATGTGATTTATGATGCTTTACCAAAAACAGATCTTTCCTCACCCACCTCAGTCCTTACCTTCATAAGTCCTTCTTGTGAATAGGAACTTACCAACTCACAACTTTTATGGAAAAAAAAAAAAAAAGTGGTTTTTTTTTTGCACTTTGCCCTAGTAGGCCAAAAGGAAGCAGACAAGAGGAATTCATTGTTAAGTTTTACATACACTTTTAATCACAGAAATCAGCCCTTCGTTTTTATTCACCTCAGATTGTCAAGAGACTAAATTAAAACTGCTGTAAAAATTTGAGGAAAAAATGCAGGCTACATTGTTAAAACCTGATGTACGATTAAATTATGCAGGCCATGCACCATGTAGATTTTAGGGAATTTCAACAAGATTACTGAACAGATCATTGCAGCCTACAATTATCAATTTCTGTTCAAACAATGAAGCTATTAGTGTAGAAAATAATATGGATTGGTGCAATAAAGGGAAGCAGAGGTGACAAGTCCACTATATAACAGTCCAAACAGACCATGTAGGTCAATAATTATAGTCCACTCTGGCAGCCTAATCCGTAGAGAAAACTCTAAAAAAATAAAAAAATAAATGAAGGAGAAGGGAGGAGAAGCGTCAACTGAATGTAGCATTTAAGTAAAACCATTTAATAATTGGAAGTAAATGCACTCACAAAAGAAGAATTAAATCAAGCATGTAGCGCTATAATGAATGCCGTCATGAGTCCTGGTCCGCCTGGATGAAAAGGTGGCTGTGGTCTCACTGACAGGCTGCTCCGGAGGCTCCCAGGGCTTCCTATCCAGAGTGGAACACAGTGGCGGATGGATGTGACATCATGACTGGATATGACAAGCAGATGTGACCAAGTCTTCTCGTCATATCCGGACATGACGTCACATTATTTAAATACTATACTCAGTTGGCGCTTGTACTCCCTTCTCCTTCAATGAAGCAATTGGAACTCCTTGTGGTAATTTGCCTTAGCAATAACATCATTTTTAGAATTAAAAGTTGCTTGGGTGTTTAAAAAAAAAAAAAAAAGCCAGACGGTTGATATGTGCATGGCAGTATTAAGAATGTAACAATTCCTCATACTGCAACCATGTTTTAACTGCAGCTGGAAAACCCCTTTTAACACATTTGTTTATCATTTTGTAGCATACATGAGTTTGCATATAGCAATGTCTCCTATATGACTCTTCTTCTTTTTTTTTTTTTTTTTTTACACCCTCTGTTCAGGTACAAGGCCAGCCCACTCATGGTTCAAGTCAGTGGAGGACAGCTAATTACATCCACAGGGCAGCCTATTATGGTACAAGCTATGAGTGGACAAGGTCAAACTCTTATGCAAGTTCCTGTGTCTGGATCCCAAGGCCTTCAACAGGTTAGTGTTCCACCTTCTATATTTGTGTGTTTGTGTGTGGTGTGTGTTTTTGTTTTTTTTGTTTTTTTTTCTCAATTTTGTGCTCAGGAGTCTTGATTTGTTTGAAGTAATGTTCAGTGTTTGTCATAGTGTTCAATTGTCTTATGTTACAGATTCAGCTGGTGCAGCCAGGGCAGATCCAGATCCAAGGGGGCCAAGCGGTGCAAGTTCAAACACAGCAGGGGCAAGCTCAACAAATAATTATTCAGCAACCACAGACAGCAGTCACCGCAGGCCAGAGTCAGGTATGGGATGCTGACATTTGTGGAAACTTCCTTGCCTTGTATTTCAATTATTTTTTATACATGGCCTGTTTTTTTCCCTTTCTCTTCCCAACTGTTAGAGTCAGCCACAGATTGCTGTTCAGGGTCAGCAGGTGGCACAAACAGCTGAAGGACAGACTATCGTTTACCAACCAGTAAATGCAGATGGCACAATACTACAGCAAGGTGTGTATGCACTCGACCAGGACTTGCAATTCATTGCTGCTCCAAATCAAGATTTACCAATCCCTGTAGTTTGCTGCCTGCTTTCCCCCAATATTTCTCATTTGTATAATATGTAATAACACTTACTCTATTTGTAGTTTCTGGTAGTAAGTTTCACTTGCTTGTTTTATTTACTAAAGTTACAGTGCCTGTTACTGGAATGATCACCATACCTGCTGCCAGCCTGGCAGGGGCTCAGATTGTTCAAGCTGGAGCCAACACCAATACAACCAATAGCAATCAAGGGACAGTTACTGTCACCCTGCCTGTGACAGGAAATGTTATGAACTCGGGAGGTATGGTAATGGTACGTATAAAGTCTTTGTGTACAGTGTAAATTTTATAAAAAGTGGCTTTTCTTATCTTTCATAATGTGTCTTTCCTTTAACTAGATGGATGGTACCTGGTGCAGGCTCTGTTCCAGCGCTGCAAAGAATACCACTTCCTGGAGCTGAAATGCTGGAGGAGGAACCTTTGTATGTAAATGCCAAACAATATCACCGAATATTAAAGAGAAGGCAGGCAAGAGCTAAATTGGAGGCAGAGGGTAAAATCCCCAAAGAGAGGAGGGTGAGTATCTGGCTTTAAGATGTGATAATTAGGATGAATTATTGGTGTTGAACAAAATCAGTGGATCTGACAAATGCAGATTCCCATAGATACATAGTTAGTCTGTCTGGAAAAAGACAAAAGTCCATCTAGTTCAACCAAGAAAAAAAAGTTATAATCCTATACCCTCAGTTGATCCAGAGGAAGGCAAAAAAGCCCAGCAAAGGACGATCTAATTTGTTCCTGCAGGGGAATAAAATTCCTTCCTGATCCCCCGAGAGGCAATCGGATATTCCCTATAAATAAATGTTAGTATCCAGTTGTATTCTGTGTATCCAAGAAAGAATCCAGGCCTTTTTTAAAGCAATCCACTGAGCTGACCAGAGCCAACTATTGAGGGAGTCTATTCCACATTTTTACAGCTCTCACTGTGATAAAACCTTTCCGTGTTTGGAGATTAAATCTCTTTTCCTCCAGACGTAACGAGTGCCTCCTTGTCCTCTGTGATGACCACAGGGTAAATAATTCTACACTATATGAACCACTGATGTATTTATACATGTTGATCATATCCCTCCTTAATCTCCTCTTCTCAAGAGAGAATAAATTCAGTTCCTCTTGTCTTTCCTAATAGCTGATCTCATCCATGCCTCTTATCAGTTTGGTTGCCCTTCTCTGTACTTTCTCCAGTGCCACAATGTTCTTTTTGTGAATTGATGCCCAAAACTGAACTGCATATTCCAGATGAGGTCTTACTAATGATTTGTACAGGGGTAATATGATATCTCTCTCTCTGGAGTCTATACCTCTTAATACAAGAGAGGATTTTGCTTGCTTTAGAAATCGCAGCTTGGCATTGCATGCCATTATTAAGCTTGTGATCTACCAGAACTCCCAGATCCTTCTCCCCCATTGATTCCCCCAGTTGTACTCCCCCTAGTATGTATGATGCATGCATATTCTTAGCCCCCTAAGTGCATTACGTTTATCAACATTAAACCTCATTTGACATATAGTTGCCCAATTAAACAATGCATTGAGGTCGGCTTGTAAGTTGAAGACATCCTGTAAGGACGTTATTCCACTGCACAGCTTGGTGTAATCTGCAAAGACTGAAATGGTATTTCCCAGACCCTATATCGTTTATAAATATATTAAAAAGTAAGGGTCCCAACACTGAACCTTGGGGTACACCACTGACAACCCTAGACCATTCAGAGTATGAATCATTAACCACTACTCTCTGAATACAATCTTTTAGCCAGTTTTCTATCCATTTACATACGGATTTTTTCAAGCCTGTAGACTTTACCTTACACATTAGCCGTGTGTGGGGAACTGTGTCAAACGCTTTTGCAAAATCCAAGTATACCACATCCACCGCCACCCCTCTGTCCAAGGTTTTGCACGCCTCCTAATATAAAGAAATCAGATTTGTTTGACAACTTCTGTCTTTCATGAATTCCTGCTGTCTGTTGCTTAAAATATTTTTTTCCAGCAAGAACTCATCTATGTGGTCTTTTATTAAAACTTTGCAGTATCTTCCCAACTATAGAAGTTAAACTAACAGATCTATAATTACTTGGTAAAGATTTTGACCCCTTTTTAAATATAGGCACCACATTGGCCTTACGCCAATCCAGTGGTACTATGCCAGTCATTAAACAGTCACTAAAAATTAGAAACAATGGCTTTGAAATGACAGAGCTCAATTCTTTAAGGACCCGTGGGTGTATGCCATCCGGTCCAGGTGCTTTATTCACCTTTATTCTGTCTAAATATTTCTGGATCATATCAGTTGTGAGCCAATGTGGATCGTCTGGGGCTGTGCCAATACCATTATGGACAAGAGCTCCCCCATACTCCTTTGTAAACACAGAGCTGACATACATTATGACAATACATTACTGTATTCAACATAGGTAAACTGAGGTGAGGGCGGTAGGGGGATGAAGATTAGCTGTTCTGTGTAAATGCCAACATACTGCGTTTCTAAAGCATGTTCTGTTGCAGTTCCATAGTTGTAATAGACAATAGCTTGCTTTACCTGTTAAATGCCCCCTTATCCTGAGTTTGAGTTGGCAAGAGTGCTCTGGAAGTAATGTGAGAGCAGTAGGAACAATGTACTGTAGCTTCTGGTCACTTGTTTTATTCTGTTCCAGTAAGCAGTGGCATACATAAAGGATTTTTGGGGCACTTGCAATTTGTGCTTGGGGTCATCCTACTACAGATGTGGATAATAAAACAATGAATGGAAATGGGGGGAGAATATAGCAGAGTGGAAGTATTTTCCCCACTTCCACTGAAAATGGCAATAGGGGAATACATCTTCTCTGCTTAATGGCAAAGGATTATTAATCCATTTTTTTGTGCGACACTGCTGAACGATCCTTCTGAAAATGCTAGCTTCCTGAAAAAAAGTACATCAGGAGTAACAGTACTTGTATTTAACAACTAATTACTATTTTTAGAAAAAGAGCAGTAGTGGCAGCTTCACAGCGTGAATACAGAGCGCTGTTAGGTATCTGCTGTGAATCTAATGTTTGCATTTTTTTAAAATCTCAGAAATACTTGCATGAGTCACGACATCGCCATGCTATGGCTAGAAAGAGAGGAGATGGTGGACGTTTTTTCTCCCCTAAAGAAAAAGAAGGACACCACTTACAAGTAAATGTACAGGTATATTAAATGAGGATTACGTGGTTTTATTTGTACTTTGCCTTATAACAAGCACTTGTTTTTCCTCTTAATTATTCATTTTGCCTTTATGCAGTTTTTTTTTTTTTTTTTGCCAAATGCAAAGCTAAGCTTGGTACAAATAGGTTTTTTTTTTTTTTTTTTTTTTTTGTTCAACCCAAAATTCTGAACAGAAAAATAGAGGAGCTCGCTGTACTAACTATGCAATGGTAGTACAGCAATCTCACACTGATCTGTTGTGTTCTGGCAGGGGGACTACCCTTCTGCCAGAACACAGCAGACATCTCTCGCAGCCAGTGGCTGCAAGAATTGATCAAATGCCGATCGTCTGCTGGTTTTTCGTCATGCCCATTCGAAAGAAGCCTGACAGGCTGCTGAACACACGGCCAAATGTCGGCCGGTCTCTGTTGAACGGACTAGTAGTCGGCCTGTGTGTACCAGCCTTTAGTTTCAAGGCAATTTGCATAAAGAAGTCCTTAGATAAAAGTGATGAACAAGAACAAAATTTCATCAGTGAAGTTGCTTTTCAGTAAAAGGATTCAAGTCCAGGAACACATCTGGTTTTCTACACTGCTTTATGCCTTTTAAAGTGCTATTAAATTCAAATATTGCAGCTTACCCATTCTTGGATGTGATGGCTGCATTAGTTTTCTTTTTTTTTTCTTTCTTTTGTTTACATCTGGTGATCCAGCCCCAGTAAGTCTGTTTGTTTTTGAGCTGTTCTGAAGATGTATTAGTTTAGTGTGTTAAGACAAACCATTTTCCACTGACAAGGGGTGATTTCAATGATGAGCTTTTTTTATTCATATAAAACCTTTATCTCAAAGGAAAAAAATTGTTGCTGTAACTGCATGTTTTACTGCAGCGTGGGCTGCAGTTTGGCTTCAATCTGTTAATGTATCTAAATGTGCTAATACATCTAACACTCCCCTCCCTCAAGACTGACTATGCTGCTTTCCAAAGATGCCCCTGTGTTCTTTCATCCACAGTGGGGGCACCCTAATACAGGAGGTATGTTGCTGGCCAGTTCACTAAATTAAAACAAGGGTTAAAAGGCCTAAGGATGAAAACGAATGCAACCACCGCATCTAACGATATGTAACTGCAATATATAACTTTTTTGGCTTTGGTTTTAATATCGCTTTATTATGTGCAGAAAGCAATGTAGTGTAAGCCATAGCACAGAGTTAGAACAATTTATATTTTTTTTTACCAGTGTTTGTTTCGGAATAAATGTGAGATATTTTAATAGCACATCAAGCACAGAATATAAAACACAATGTTGTATTTGGAATCGCTACCCATTCATATCTACTATCTAAATTTCTAATGTAGGTTTTTCTTGTACTACCCCATTTGCAAAAAGTTGGGGCGCCAGTTTGCAAATTGGGAAACTGGTAGAAATTATTAACACTGATCTGGAAGAAATTATTAACACTGAGCTGGTCTATGGAGGTACACCAGTACTCAGAGTGTGGCATGTCAGTGCTGGGAAGCTTTCATGCATCTGCTTCCCACAGTGATGTATCCCTGACAACACTCAGCAATCGGCTGGGAGTTTCCCTTGGCAAAAAATCTAAATGTAAAGAATATGGCTGGGGATAATGAGCGGTGATATATAGGGCAATGTCCATATTTGGCAAATTACTTGTGCCACTGGGTGGGCAGAGCCTGATGGGAAACTAAAAGACTAGTTCCCCATCAGGTCTGCTTTACTTCTGACTTGACGGCGTGTGGCAGTGGGCATATTCGAAAACCTGTTATTGGACTGAATAGTGGCTGTGGAATCTGTCAAACAGTGAGGTGGACCTCATGAGAAACGCTTCTCTCAGTTTCCCCACCAGGCTTCGTCCATCCCACTAGAAAAAGGAGGTAGCTTACTGAGGAAGGAGTGTCCCGTTTGGACAATCCAGCCTCTGTACCTGGCACTGACAGTTTCATGTACTGGTCTCTGAATTGACCGTAAACACTGTCACTTTGGCTGACAAAATTGTGTGGCCAAGTATGATCTTCTACCAGACTCTTTTATCTGGCTTATGTGGACCTACTTGGAATAAAGCCCATCTGTGATCTCTGATTTGCTTTAATAAAGATAAAAAAAATCTGCTCCAGTGTTTGCATTTTCTTAAGAAGATGCAGCTCTCACGTGTTTACTCTACTGAACGTGTTACTCTTACTGAAATGCTAGGATACACCAATTAACATTCAAACAAGTAAGAAGCAAAAATAGAGGAAATGTTAACATTTGATAGCAGCATGAAGAGCCTGTAATCCTAGCTTGCTTTTTTTTTCTGCTTGCGCCTTCTGCATACAGTGTTAGGCCCCTTTTACACGAGCAGTTCGATTGGGTCTGCCTGTCTGGTTTTTCAGACGGACCCAATCGGACCTTCTATATTCCTCTGAGCAGTCGAATGTAAATGGTCTTTTCTGTTTTTTACCAGGCTAACTGCAATTGGGAGAAAGAAAAAAAATGGAAGGGGATCCGTTCCCTTCATCTGGCTGGATTGGAGGGCAGTCAGGTGTAAACGGAGAGCTGGTCCGTCTACAACCGACTGCCCATAGAGCACAGCGTGCTGTGTCCGTGTTCACTTTGCATAAGCGAAGAGCACATGGAAATGTCATCCAGCCACTCCGCTCAGCAGCGGATCAGTGGATAGAAACCCCTGCTGAGAAAAAATGGATCTGGCCTGTGTGAAAGGGGTCTTAGTCTGTTTTATAGGTTTTACCCCTGGTTCACATATATGCGGCCACGCAGGCCGCGTTTTGCATGGGCACGAGAGCCCATTCATTTGAATTGGACTCCCGTGACACGCAGGGAAGAAGTCCCTGCACTTCTTCTGAAAACGCAGCCCACACGGGAACCTCGTTTTCCAGTACGGTTGCGTTTTCCAGTGCGGGCGGCGCACAATTAGAACTAATAGCACCTGCCCACAGGTCCGCATTTCTCTGTGCGGGTGGTGCGGCTGCACAGATTTCCGAACCAAGCCTTATGGTTTTACTCTTTTAAGTATTCTGTTATTTCCCACCATATCACTAAGGGGAAAAAAGGTTCCCTGCTTTTTCAGATGTCCCATCATCTAGATGTTGATTTGAAGTAAGTTAATGAAGAAAAAAACCCCCCAGCCTTCTGTAAATATTTTATTCTCTCTACTTTTTGTTCCAGGAAGTGGAATTTCATTAATACATTTGAGCAGAGCTGTTAAAACGGTAAGCATTTCTGAATACAGCTTTGTTGCATGTGTGTGTAGGTGAACAAGCACATGGTCTTATTGTCTTATCCTTGCAGGATTCATCTCAGGGAAGAGATGTTTACACAGATGATGCAACCATTCTGGCAGTGTCCTAAACACAACACCACCGATGCCACCTTACAACTCCAAGACAACTTCAGATTTTTAACTTGCTTCAACCCAGCATTAACACAATGGACTTCTTCCACCTACCACCAAGAAAACCCTCAGCAATTCCTTTCTTGATAAATCATGTCCTCTGTCCTTTACATTCAGATTTGTGTACCAGTAGGGCAGAAAAGGAAAGGTTTTGCAGTTATTCTGGAACATAAAAAAAAATATTTTTTAAGAAAAGTGATTAAAAAAAAAAAAAAAACAAAAAAAAAAAAACATGTTTGGTCAGTATTCAAAAGACTCAATGTGGTTTTACACTGAGGTGAAGTGCTGGCTCTGTCATTTTTTCAGATCGTGCAAAAAGCTGGACTGACTTTGGAAATATGCATTGTAACGGTCTGCTTTTCTGGTTTACTGTTCTTTCAAGTCCTTCTTTTGTGTGAAGAAAATGGTGTGAAGAGAGACTTTTCATATATTGCATAAGTTATCAAATTTATATTGATTCTAGGTCTTGTTTTATATATTTCTCAAGTCTCGTTAGCTTTAGGGACTTATTTGGGTTACAGAGGTAGTATAAAATTTGATGTTTAAATTTTTGTGAGGGAACAGATGGGTGGGTGGGGGGGGGGGGGGAGAGAACTGGCATTAAATGCCATTACCTTTCTGTTCATAATATTAACCCTTCACTGAACAAGTACAATACATCTACTATAACAGCATTTTTTAATATACTCACAGGCATTGCTATTTGCATGCAGGAATGTTATATTTCTGACTTTTGTTTAAGTCTTGAGAACTAGAACAGGCATAAACTTGTGAATTTGTTACTTAAGAAACTATTGTACATATTTTGTTTTTGTTTTATGATACAGTATTTCAGATTTTTTTTTTAATTAGCTGTATTTGTAAGTACTGTGTACCTTGCCCAGCTAATAAAACAATTGTTTGATTTTACTTTCAATTTTTTGATATTCTAGTGTGTTTTACATGTGTACCTATAAATTGATAGGCATAACCTACCTTGTACTTCATAATAAAAAGAAAACTAGATATCATGAATTAGTAATTCTGTGGTAACCACTAATCCTTTTTTTTTTTTTTTTTTCACAAGAGTTTTATTAAGAGTTCAAAAACTACTAATAAACATTGGTGGGAGGTCTAAGCCATTCCTCATACAGAGTAGAAAGAAACAACATTACAGACATTTCGCCACACTGTAAAAAGAAAAAGCAAGATATATAGAACAATAAAACATATGCGATGTCCCTTTGGGCTAATGAAGTGCAACGTAATCAGTGACGAAAGTAGCATTGAAGCAGGTATATGTGTTTAGAAGACCAAGGTTAGCATTGAGTAATATTGCAGTGCATTAAGGAACCAGGCTGCTATCGCCTATGCCAACTAGCATACTTTGTGTTCCAAAAGGAATGTGTTGGGACCTGGGTATGTAATTAGGAAAAAGGAGAAAGGGGTGAGGAAGCCAGAAAGGGGAAAGGAATGGGGAGAGAGGGGAGGGAGAAATGTAGGGGGAAATGTAGGCATCTAGGAAGGGAAAGGAAGAGCAGGGGTTGGGCTAAAAGTGATAGATAAGGAGAAACTAGGTGCAAGACTCTATCTTCTTTGGATTGAAAAGTACAGGTGTGACTTAACTGGAAAGCCATCCTCTAATATGCAAAGTGATTAAGAGAAGCTAGTCATGAGACTGGAATAATACGCAGACTCCTGAAAACGTAACCAGCATGGCCAGGTTTATTTGGAATATCCCGGGCTATATGGATGAGCTCTTCTATATCAACAATTATCCGAATCCTTTCCAAACCTGTGTAGAGATTCTTTGCCCCAGTGTAGTGGAATACATGCTCTAACTACGTTAACAAGATACTTGGCTAATGATATGGAGTAGGCAGACTTAGAAGGGGATGTGCGGTGCAGGAGAAATTTGGCAAAGTAAAGTCTAAGGTATATAAAGTACTTTTGGAAATGGTAGTATTGACCTCTGCCCAGTACTGCTGCAGAGATGGGCATAGTTACATAGTTAGTCTGGCTGAAAAAAAGACAAAAGTCCATCCAGTTCAACCATAGAGAAAAAAAAAGTTATAATCCTATACCAACAGTTATCCAGAGGAAGGCAAAAAAAAAACCAAAACAGCAAAGCATGATCCAATTTGCACCTGCTGGGAAAAAAATTCCTTCCTGATCCCCCAAGAGGCAATCAGATATTCCCTGGATCAACTTTACCTATAAATGTTAGTATCCAGTTATATTCTGTGTATCTAAGAAAGAATCCAGGCCTTTTTTGAAGCAATCCACTGAGCTGGCCAGAACCAACTCTTGAGGGAGTCTATTCCACATTTTCACAGCTCTCACTGTGAAGAAATCTTTCCGTGCTTGGAGATTAAATTTCTTTTCCTCCAGATGTAAAGAGTGCCCCCTTGTTCTCTGTGATGAGCTCAGGGTGAATAACTCTACACCGAGTTCACTATATGAACCACTGATGTATTTATACATGTTGATCATATCCCTCCTTAATTTCCTCTTCTCAAGAGAGAATAAATTCATGGCATGACCACCATGTGTAAAAGAGAGGCTAATTCTGAGTGGCAAAGAAATTTAAACGATGTGCGTGGCCAGGTCCACCACCCAGCGTGGGTGAAAGTGTCCCAGTTGAACATATGTGCAAAATGGAAAGTATTGTCCTTTCATACGCTGAGCTGAGGCCTCAGGCTACGGGAAGTATCCTTATCAAAGAAATGCTCTGTATTAATTATTATTCTTATACAGGATTTATATAGCGCCAACAGTTTGCGCAGCACTTTACAAAATAAGGGTAGACATTACAGTTACAATACAATTTGATACAAGAGGAAACAGAGGACCCTGCTCGTTAGAGATTACAATCTAGGAAATGCATTCATGTGGCCAGATGTCATTTAGAAATCTCATCTCCAATCCCAGAGGGAAGATAGGATTGTGTTTGAGAGGAGTCGGGGGTCCTGGGGTGGCAGAGATCTAGAGAGTTGTTCTTGTCTTACGGCAACAATAGATGGTCGCACCTATCAGTGGGTGGTCCCCAAAGGTGGAGGGGATGTGTGACGGGGTCAACCAGGAGGTCAAGTATAGCGGGGTGTTGGCGAAAGCATTTTCAAGGGTAACCCAGGCTTGTGCATGGACATTCCAACCCACCACCCTAGTTAAAGGGCATGCCCAATGGTAACTACTAATCTTTTATTTTACAGTAAGGATGGTTTTTCAGAATTTCCTTTGTACAACCAGATTATGAGCACAGCTCCATTTCACTAAGAAACAATCTCATGAAGACATTGGGGAGGGATGCTAAGGCTGCTTTCACACTGAGGAGTTTTTCAAGCGTTTTTACTTTAAAAAAGCACCTGAGAAGCTCAAGAAAACTGCTTCCCTATGTATGTGAATGTATATCTATGTATGTTTTCACACTGAGGCGTTGTGCTTGCTGTGCGGTGTAAAACTCCTGCTTGCAGCATGTTTGGTGCATGTTTGGGGAGTTAGTTAAAAAAAAAAAAGAAGCCTCTTCCCATTGAAATCAATGGAAAATGCCTCTGAGAAGCGTTTTTTGTGCAGTTTTAAGTCACGTGTCCTTTAAAAAAAACGCGGCAAAAATGCAGTAAAATCGCCTATGCTTTTTTTTGCAGAGGATCAGTGTAAAAGTAGCCTAAGGGTAATAAGGTAATCATAAACCTACCTCCTAGTTAAAACAACAGGTGCTGTGGTATTTCAGTTTTGTCTTGTGACCCCAAGAATGCCATTCATTCTGCATTGCTGTGTGCTGCTCTCCTGAAAATGCTGCACGCAGCTTTTTGGTATGATTTGGCGTGTTAGGTAGCCTATTCAAATGAATGGGTTGCTTAACTTAATATACAGTGTAACAGGCCTTAAGGTAGTGCAACAGTGTAAATGGGCCCTTAGTCATAATGCTGATACAAGAGTGTCTGCAGGCAAATTGAATGAACATACTGAGGTCAATGCTTACATTACAAAGCTGCAGGTCATGAGGTCTTAAAGTGTAACTTTACTCTCTCAATCAACATCATTTTTTTTTTTTTAAATCCTTGTGCTGCTAGCCTTGAAAAATAGATAAAGTATATTATATTTGATTTTCTTTTCAAATTTCTTCAGTTGCTTCCTGGTTTCTAGCCTAGGCCAAAATTATGCATATATCCCAGGAGTGTTCATGGGCATTTTACTTTCATCTAGAGGAGAGGCTTTCTCAGCTAAACAGACCATCCTACCTGTATGCCTGACCTAAGGGCAGATAGATTCCTGGAAGTAAATGCTAGGGGAGTGTTTTTCAAAGTGGTTTCTCAACAAAATAAAGCATTGAAACATGGATGGATGGGTGAACTTGCTTTGAATATAAAAAATTAATTAAACAGTGTTTTTGGGTTGTGGTGCTCAGATACAGTTAAGTTCCACTTTAAAAGGAGAACTTCATTTAACCACTTGCCCTCCTGAGGATTTACCCCCCTTCCTGACCAGGCCTTTTTTTTTCTTTTTTTTTGCTATTCGTCACTGCACCATTTCAACTGCTAATTGTGTGGTCATGCAATGCTGTATCCAAACAAAATTTTGTGCTTTTTTTCACACAAATAGAGCTTTCTTACGGTGGTATTTGATCACCTGTACGCTTTTTATTTTTTGCGCCGAAGACCGAAAATTAAAAAAAAAATTTTACTTTCGGCTATAAAAAAATATATATATAGTAATCTCAAAGTTAGTCATAAATTTAGGCCAAAATGTATTCTGCTACATATAAATGGTGAATACTTGTGAGCTATTTTGAGATGAGGTGTTCAGTGGGTAA